GCGCCGGCCCTGATCTGCATTAGATATTACATAGCAAATATTTGGAAATTCTTAGAAATAGCTGTGTTACCTCCTCGCATCTTACCTTTCAGACAATTTCTTGAAATGAAATATATCTGCAGAATTGTGATGTTTCACCCGGATGAACTCTTCAGCTCTCATTAGATGATGGCTTCTCTCCGCGCAGCTCGCCGCCAGCGAACATCTTCTTCTGCTTCCTTCCCTGAGCTCTCGTCTGTGCCTGGAAGATGCCGTGTTTCTTCACGATGCTGGAAATCATTGTGGATGACGTGTCGAGAGCTCTGAACTGGTGCTGGAACGACACTGGCGAAAGCCGTTTGAGATGAGTGAGGATGTCTCAGATCTTAAGCCTCAGGATCAATGATGCTGTAAGATGAGCATCGGTGCTCCTCAAGTTACTATTATTATTGTATTATTTTGACAGCATGTATTCATGTCATGTGTGTGTGAGAGCGAATCCCTCTTCAGCCACAGAATCAATAAAATGAAATTAGGGCTGTCTGTTTAAGGCCTTAACTTAATTCATTAGTTATGAAAAAATAATTACTATTATTATTGTATTATTTTGACAGCATGTATTCATGTCATGTGTGTGTGAGAGCGAATCCCTCTTCAGCCACAGAATCAATAAAATGAAATTAGGGCTGTCCGTTTAAGGCGTTAACTTAATTAATTAGTTATGAAAAAATAACGCGATTAAAATATTTTAACGCATTTAACGCACTGGCCCCGCCCCCAGACCTGTACGTCATCTCACATTTCCTACAGTTGACTGTTGACAAACATGATGCATATAAATAATCCATAAATGCAGTTATGCCCTAAAATTCAAGATATTGCGGCAAAAAATGCCCCTGTATGAGTCTGTGTCTCATATTTATATCATATGATAAGCGATATCACACGAGCAGCGAGAGCGATATCACACGAGTGCTGTTTCTGTCCCGAATATCAGGAGTTTAAATGTGATTTTTATACAACAGTTCAGCAAGAAGTTAATATTGTGTGTTTTTGCTCAATTTTGCCAACGAAAATATTACCTAAAGCCACCGCAGAACTGTGTGTTTGTGATCAACACAGTGGTGTTTAGTTTCTGAATGAATCCGCGTTTTGAACGAATCGAATGAATGAATGAATGACTTGTAAAAAAATGTAACGCCACCTGCTGAAGGTTTTAGTTTCTTAGAGTATCATTTCATTTATTAAAAAAAAGAATAGTTAAATAAATAAATATGAAGGGGATAGTTCACCAATAAATAAATAAATTCTGTCAGTATTTACTCACCCTCATGTCGTTTCAAACCCGAATGACTTACTTTCTTCTGCACAACATAAAAGAAGGTGTTTTGAAGACTGTTGGTAACAAAGCTGTTTTGGTTACCAGTGACTTTCATTGCATGAACAAGAAATACTAAAAAATAGATGTTTCTCTAATTATCTTCTTTTATGTTCCATATTATGTTCGGCCGTTGTGTAATAAGTGTTATGTTGAATCAAATAAAATATTTCTTTCTAAAGCTACTATTTCTAATGTCTACTTGATAGTTTCTCGTTTAACACAATAATAGCTTTAAATAATCTTTTGTGGATATTTTCACAGCCAAATTTAATTAGATTAGGCTAATTAATCGCCGCAACATGTAATTAATTCGATTACAAATCAATAAATATATTTCTTTTTTTCTGTTGTTCTAACTGAAGAACATGCCATTCTAGAAACATCTGGAATCACAAGATGAACCATGGTTCATTTAGACACTGGTCTGCCAATTAGCAGCCTTGTCATAATTACAGCAGAAACAGTGAGGGGTAAATATCATATACGGGGGTTGTTTTGGATACTTCGGGGTATTTTGAGTCTGAGAGGTTGAGAAGCGCTGTGGTCTTATCAGTCACGGGTAAAGCGATCATAAACTCCCTCGAGAGCCCGTGCTGATCTGTAATAATCAACTAACTTATCTGCGATGAACGCTCGCGATGGGGAAGTAAAGGAGCGTTTCGTGCATCAGAGCTATTTCAGAATGACACGACATTCTTCTGAACTATGATTAATGATACGAAGAAACGAGCATTTCTCCGAGAAGTGGGATATGGGAGGGGAAACACCTCCAGATGCTGTAATCGTGGTTTCATCTCGCAGTTACATTTACAGGAGGACGGTCCTCCTTCTTCTGTACAGTAAGAAGTAAGAAGCAGAACTGTGTGGATGCAGGACAGTGCTGTGCTGGTGGCTTCCTCGTCGCCACGGTTCAAGGTTCAGAGATCTCCCGCGGCTCGAGCGTGTCAGCTGTTGCCATGGCGATGCGGGACTGTTCACCTGAAATAGCAGCGCGCGCAGGTGGCGAGTGTGTGTGTGTGTGTGTGTGTGGATCTAATGGCTCTGAGTTCCATTCTCATCTTTTGTTAAAGAACTCTGGTCTCAGCACTGAAGCACACACACACACACACACACACCCAAGAGGGTGTGTGTCCCTCCTACTCACATGTTGCAACCTTGATTACACACCCGCACCCTCCCAAAGCAAATATTTCAGGACACTGATCTGGCTCTCTCTCTTTCTCATGTTCAGCAGTTGCACTGATAATCACTCCAGAATGTTTAAAAAAAATCCAGTTCTGCCCTGGAATTCTTGACTGATGTCAGAGCAAGCAGTCATTTCAAATAAATAAATAACAACTACATTACATAAGACATGACTTCAGAGAAAGTCTTTGTATCTTCTAAGTGATTATCCCTCTTCTGGGATGATTTGTGGTCTGTGACGCGACAGAAAGCCTGGAGTCTGCGGAGAGGCTAAAGAGGCTTCATCAGGCTGAGAACGGACAGAAGTCTTCGACCCAAACCCGCTTCTCCTGCCGCTGTGTGGGAAGCAAGGTGGGCGGAAGTAGAGTTAGTCATTCCCAAGACTGAGCATCCGCATAACTCAACACGAACACACCAGGAAACCTGCAGAGCAAAACTTACTTTGTTGACTTGGAGCCTGAAGACATCACTTTGTAAAGTATCTGCATTCTCAGCGAATATAAATATATAAATCCCACTGAGAAGCCAGTGTTTCTTTGGCTTGTGTTTTATGGGTTTGTCATGGTTTTCAGCCCGTGTAACTCCAGTCAGTGTACAGTACGCTCACGGTAGCAGATTCCCCTTCACCTCCTCAGCTCTGACTTTTACTTTCACAATGACCCAGACAGACGTTCCTTGTGCTTTACTGGAAGTGCCGCTCATCTTTATGGGAACGGCTCTGACACGCAGGGTGGGCGGCAGTGCTGACTGTGTTTCTCGCTCAAGCCCATAGTTACAGGACCTGGCGGAGGCACAGAATGTGATCACGACCCTTGTTAAGATAACTAATGACTTCTGCCCAGACTGTCCTGTCTTCTCTCAAATGCCAGATTTGTGTGTGTGAAGTTGCTCATGTACTGGTCTGTATGTACACACACAAAAAACTGAATTATGGTATTAAAGAAAGGCATGACATGAGCAAGACAAGTGTTCAGAAACCTACTTCTCTTTATTGTTGATAAAAAAGAAAACAAGCGAACAACGAACAGCATGTTATTTTGAAGCAAATACACCAACACAGCGAGGCAAGTCGCCCTTCAGTCACACGTTCCCGTCAGTCGCTCGAGTCTTTGTGTAGCTCTCTCGAAGATGCCAAATGAGCTCCAGAACTGGCCGTCACAATCTGACACTGTTCCACAACAGTAACACATCTTTAAGACTTAAAATGCTCCGTCATGAAAGTCACACCAGCGTGAATCTGTGATTTGGGATCAAGACTGAGAAGATCATCGTTACACAAACGGCCTTCTGTACACGCAAGGTAAACAGAGTAAACTCATTAAACAAAGTACTTGCGTTCCTCAGTATGCGTATATATGACACATGGTTATGAAAAAGACTTTGTGGTCTGCCAACATTTTCTTCATTTTAAAATGAACGATGCAATCAGTCTTAAGAGTTGGATCAAAACACAGCCATACAGTCCCATGAAACAACAAAAACACGGGAGCGATCGATCGCAACCCTCTTAAAGTTAGGGTTAAATAGAGGAACACAGAACAATCAGGAACAAATCAAGGACCAGTGGAAAAGCTGGAGCACGCGGTGGACAAATGCACCAAACAGCAGGCGTGTACGAACACAAACCAGCAACACAGAAACGCTTGGAGCCGAGCTCAAATAAAACACCACCACACTGATCAGGAAAACCACTTCAATAAATAAAGTACTGGAATGATACAAAGCAATACAGTAGGCACTGTACACAAAAACGTTCAAAACTATTTTGTACAAAAATACAATACGTTTCTGACATCAAAATCCTTATTCAAGTTTCAAAAAAATAAATATCTTCTTGTTGCACAAGGTTATTTGACAGTTCTAGTACCAGTCTCAGGTATCCCTACGAATCATCTCCAAATGGATATACATATAAATAAAATGATCTGCATCTCCATTGACTGTAAAAGAAAGGCATTGAACAGCAGTTCTGAGTAGCAACACTGGCAGACGTACAGGACTCTTTAACACATGGATGGTTTTCACAAAAGCAGGCCTTCTACGAGTTGTTTATCGCAGCGATGCGAAGCTCGTGACTTCATCGAGCTGATCTGACGTCTGCAGTAGAGCGCGGACTTCTGCTCGCCTCGTAAAACAATGTCTGGGTGCATTACCCACAATCTTGCAGAATTCTGTTCATTTATTATTTTTTTATCTACTATAAACATAGTTGTAGTTATAGTTCAAACTGTCATGCTATACACAGAGGATAAATATTACACATCATTTAATGTTTCTGATTTATGTGCAATCGTGTAGTTTCAACAAGACACTAGTATTCCAACCATATTTTTCCTCTCCTCAGAAAACAACATAAATACAAATTCTGTATAAATAAAATTCATTAAAAAAAAAAAAATCAAATCAAATACAGAAAAAATGCAAAATACTATTGATCAAAAGCCCTTTCCAACATTTTCTTCATTTTAAAATGAACGATGCAATCAGTCTTAAGAGTTGGATCAAAACACAGCCATACAGTCCCATGAAACAACAAAAACACGGGAGCGATCGATCGCAACCCTCTTAAAGTTAGGGTTAAATAGAGGAACACAGAACAATCAGGAACAAATCAAGGACCAGTGGAAAAGCTGGAGCACGCGGTGGACAAATGCACCAAACAGCAGGCGTGTACGAACACAAACCAGCAACACAGAAACGCTTGGAGCCGAGCTCAAATAAAACACCACCACACTGATCAGGAAAACCACTTCAATAAATAAAGTACTGGAATGATACAAAGCAATACAGTAGGCACTGTACACAAAAACGTTCAAAACTATTTTGTACAAAAATACAATACGTTTCTGACATCAAAATCCTTATTCAAGTTTCAAAAAAATAAATATCTTCTTGTTGCACAAGGTTATTTGACAGTTCTAGTACCAGTCTCAGGTATCCCTACGAATCATCTCCAAATGGATATACATATAAATAAAATGATCTGCATCTCCATTGACTGTAAAAGAAAGGCATTGAACAGCAGTTCTGAGTAGCAACACTGGCAGACGTACAGGACTCTTTAACACATGGATGGTTTTCACAAAAGCAGGCCTTCTACGAGTTGTTTATCGCAGCGATGCGAAGCTCGTGACTTCATCGAGCTGATCTGACGTCTGCAGTAGAGCGCGGACTTCTGCTCGCCTCGTAAAACAATGTCTGGGTGCATTACCCACAATCTTGCAGAATTCTGTTCATTTATTATTTTTTTATCTACTATAAACATAGTTGTAGTTATAGTTCAAACTGTCATGCTATACACAGAGGATAAATATTACACATCATTTAATGTTTCTGATTTATGTGCAATCGTGTAGTTTCAACAAGACACTAGTATTCCAACCATATTTTTCCTCTCCTCAGAAAACAACATAAATACAAATTCTGTATAAATAAAATTCATTAAAAAAAAAAAAATCAAATCAAATACAGAAAAAATGCAAAATACTATTGATCAAAAGCCCTTTTGTTGTCGTTCTGATTTCAGGTCAGTTTTGACTCTTGACTTGGTGCATTTTTCGATTTCTTTAGTCCAGAGTAGCTTTTCCACACCGTTACTCTAGGTTAACACAGCATTAATACTCATTAGATAATGGCAAAAACACACTATCAACCCATTATTAGGACGTATCTCCTGACGGGAGACTACAGTGCAAAAGGTCTCGGAATGCTCAGGAAATTCCCAACTCAAAACCGGCCAAAGGTGCCATTAAAGTTTTGCACAATACCACAATCCTTTATCCGCAGATGTCTCTTTGCTTATAATGTTGCGATATTAAACAGTAATGTAATACTTTTTAAAAAAAGTCTTGGTTTCTATAAAATATTTTTTCCTCATATTCACAAATTGCACAATATCAAACCAACCAACGAACGAACAAACATATGCTGTAATGTTGTTACTAAGACAAGGTGACAGATTAAACCAAGAGATTTCCACTAGAACACAGGTGACATCTCAAAGCAGTATAAAGGGATCGGTTCTCTTCCACGTGTGTAAGAGTCCGTCAGGTGCTTTGGAGAAAAGTTTGCATAATAGTGCATGTTGTTCAACAATTTTATAAACACAAACCCCTAAAACATATAAAGTCCGTCCATCGGTCGAACAAGACGCTGATTATAAAGAAAAAAAATGTGAGCAAATTTTCCGTCCGCTTGAAGTGAAAAATCTCGGTTACAAGCCGGGGTGTAAAAGCAGAAAAAAAGAAAAGTATTCAAGGGCAGAATTCCTACATGAGTTTTTGTTCCCTTTGTGATCATCCCACCCGCAGTGCATTTGCATCCCTGTCGCTTTGGCCTTTTCGACAAAAAACTGACCCAAACAACTTCAAGTCCAAAGAACGGTCGAAGAACGCACTCAGTACTTTGGGAGCATGTGCAGGTTTTCAAGAAGGACATTCCTAAAGAAAAGCAGGGTTGCTCTCGCGCGTCTCTGACGGGTCTCGCCCCTTCTCCGCTTTCTGGGACGGGGTTGAGAGAGACAGAGAATGAGCGTGAGAGTGCAGCCAGGAGATAAAGAGAAAGTCTTGTGGTTTCAGCAGCTGGTGCTCTCGCCACTCTTGGCCATGCCGGCTGAGCTGACGGCGATCTGGCAGCCATTAGTGACGTGATTCATGACTTTCTGTTTGAGCTGAGCCACCTGCTCTCTCAGGATGCTGGCGGTGGAGGCCAGGTCCGAGTTCTGCGTCTTCAGCACCTTGACCTTCTCCTCCAGCCGCGAGATCCTCTCCAGCTTCCTCTTGCGGCACTTGGAGGCGGCGATGCGGTTCCGCAGCTTCTTGCGCTCCGCCTTGATCCGCTCCTGGGTCTCCAGGTTGATGGGAGAGAGTGAGGGCGGGGAGCTGGCCGGGTCGGCCCCGGGCGGGTGAGGGACCTCGGGCACCGTCTGCGGAGCGTCCGGGCCCCGAGTCTGAGGGCCGTGGGGTGAGGCGTAGGCCATCTGGCCGCCGGGGTAAGAGGAGGGCAGCTGGTTGGGGTTGTAGCTGCTCAGGTTGGTGTAGATGGGCATGTCTGCGCCCGGCATCAGGTTCCTCTGGTAGGAGCCCTGGATGGAGGAGGAGGGCGACATGGGGGCCCCCACCAGCTGGTTCTGCTTGTGCAGATCGGCCAGAGCTTTGACGAAGCCGTCTGCGAATCCCTCCTGCTCGTTCGTGGCCTGGTTTCGGTACATGAAGGGATTAGCAGACGCGTTTGGAGCCGGGCTTGTAGTAACCAGTCCCTGGTTAGACTGGATAATCAGGTGCTCCAGATCTGGAGAGGACAGCTTCAGGAGGTTCATGTCTGGAGAAGACATCAGCGAGCCGTTGGGATTGCCGCTCATGCCCAGACCGCTGGGGCTGTTGAGTTTGAGGCTCGAGGCGTTTCCCAGGCTGTGGGAGAAATGACGCGGCATGTTGTTCTTCTTGCTCATAATCTTGTGGCCTTGGTATCGATCGTAATCTGGAATTTGCCCAAAGTTGGGAACGCTATCATCGTGATAGAAAGGCGTTTCCATCTTACCCGTCATTGAAACAGCAAGACAGATTCCTCACAAGACATAATACGCCGAGAAATTATCTGAGCTGCACGTTTTCAGCCATCCACTGCGGGGGAAAACTAATTATCTGAGCTGTTCGAGTTTGGAAGGGCATTCAGAAGTCCTCAGCATTAAATCTACAAAAGAGTAGAAAAAGATGAGGAAAAATAAATCAAGGCATACTGAAGTAAACAATCACGGTATCATTTCTAATATAGCGAATAGCAACGTTGATGATAGAATGAATGATTAAGTGTTTTATAGTAAGTTGATGTGATTAATAAATCTCAATCATTGGACTAAAACTTACATATGTACGATTCACACACACATCAAACCACCTGTGTGCCTCTGGCTATAAACGATCAGACTGTCATTAAAACGATGAAACCAGGAAGCTTCGCTACAGCCCGAGTTCTTCCCGTCAATAAAGACTTTCCTGGGCTTCATCCAAACATAGCTGAGCGCTTCTCTTGCACTTTCTTATTCATGTCGCCACATGTTCGTTAGAAACCCCGTCAAGACTCCATGAATAAACAGCAGATCGAGTCGCTTACTGTGTGTAGGTCGATATAACGCGAGGAAGAGCCGCGGATCGATCAGCTCGGATCAGATGAAGAAGCTTCCCACGAAACAATCCACTGCGTCAAAGCTCCGGTTAGTCACGCTGTATAACGACCGCGCAGATGTGTAACCCACGCACCGCGCCGCGCCGCGACAAGCGATGAATCTGTCCTCTCCGCAGCGCTGCGCTTCCTCGTCTGCTCGCTGTCAGAAGACTGTGGGACTTTCTGCTCGGATGATTATTAATAACACACGCCCTTCTGTTCTGCTCTCCAGTTCCTGAAACTAGAACGCCTCCTCGCGCTCGAAGCGTCGCGTTTATTGGCCGGCTGTCGTGATGTTCAGCTGCAGCGTCACGTGATCGCGGGAACAATATGTTTTATGCATATGCGCTAAATATTACGCGTTAGTTAAATGTCAACCTAAATGCCATGTGCATTTAGCAGAAATGGACTTTCTCCAGCAGCTTTTGAATTAGCTCAAATTTACTGAACAGCAATTTTATTAAGCAACAAAGTGCTGTACAATCAAGAACAATACAGTAAAAACGGAATTAAATAGAATTAGTAAAGTGTTTAAAGAATATGGACTCATGAAACATTGTAAAGCATGCAAATAAAACCCCTGTTCATCTCAAACAACATCATATGGGAAAAAATGGAGAAAAAATGTGTTCAATATATTTCCAAATACCTTGAAAAGCAGGCTTATGAAAAGAAAGAAAGAACATGTATGCTTTTGTTGTGATTTGCTTAATATTCTATGTTAATACTTTCCTTCACATCATTTATTATTTTTCTGTTTTTCTTATATTAGTGTTATTTCATCTTTACTGTGTAATTCTATGCATGTCTGCACTATGTTTGTACTTTCTTCTGCACTGGAAGCTCCTGTCGTCAAGTCAAAGTCCTTGTGTGTGTAAACATACCTGGTAATAAAGCTCTTCTGATTCTGATTCTTGGATAAAAGCATCTTCTAAATAAACACACGATTGTGGAAAAGGACTCTACATTCACACAGATCAAATTCACACACACACACACACACACACACACACACACACACACACGATAGATATATACACATACATACAGAGAAGAATTATTTACATATACACACACACACACATAGATAATATAACTTTTTAATAATAGTAATAACCATTATCAGTCAACTTAAATGGGAGTAATAATTCAAATAGTTTATTTCTGCCCATAATGATTTTCATATCCAGCAATAAAGTGTAATTCAATTCAACTACAGATGCTTTTTAGATTGACTGGCTAGCATGCCTTGTGTACTGGTCAGCACTGTTCTGCCAGGGCTCTCTTTTCCTGTCAGTGTATTGGCATACGGGATCATCTTTCGGTCCCTCAGTGCCTGGCACTATCATCTCTCTACACGGCCAACACTGTGTTACATTTTCACACTCCTGAGTATGTCTCACAGACATTAATTATGCACTTCTAGTGGATTTTTATTGATTGTGCAATCTATCTTTTGCACATTTACATCTGTTCAACATTCTAAGTACAGAGAGTTACAGAAAATTACGTCAGAGCTTAAGTCATTAAGACCCCAAAACAACCTAGAAAAGGCAGAACATTACGTTCAACCGTTCACACAAATCATGAATAATTTATTCTTGTTTAACAGCTCCTCATACGTCCATTATGGTTTGGAAAGAAAGCAAGCCTTATTTCCATCTGTGCAACTCGGGCCACATCACATAACCATGCACTGTTACATATATTCATCCGTGTGTCTCCTGGTACATTACCAAACTTATGACATTCAACTTCAATACCCACTAATAGCATGCTTATGGTTCACTTTAGTGAGGAGCCTTGTGTTCTGCATTGCATATGACTACTACAAACTCTGGATACTAGATGATATTTTAGAAATCCATGTCTTTCACTCTATGATGTGGTCAAACACTCGTGACTCATAATAAAAAAAAGTTTTCTGCTAAGTGGTAAGTACACAGGTAAGTACCCATAAGAATATTTTTTTTAAATAAGTGTGCTGAAAAAAAGTCTGTAATTTTAATGTTAAAATGCTATATTAAAAACTTGTCAATTGGTAAAAAGCAAGTTTCCTTACTATATACAGTAAAAAAACTGTAATAAATCTAAAAAAAAAACAGTAATCATCTACTGTAATTAGAATGATCTGTATCAGGCTTTACATTTGATGCTATTTGGTTTAAACAATTACGTTTCATGTTAGTTTGTGCTATCAATTATGTACACATATTGTTGCTTATTTAATGTTTATTGCATTAGTTTAGTGTCACTTGTGTTACCATGATGATGTTTTGTATTAGTATGCCTGACACTGTGTGCATTTTTTATACATTAGTATTTACCTCAGCTTGTGGAAAAGTTACTTATGATGAACTTATGATATAATATTAACATTACATCAGTTGACGAAATTTAAGTTCAGTCCTGTAAAACCTACAATGTTGCTCCCTTATACAATAAAGTTACGACAACCACAGCTGCCTTTTTTTACTGTAAAATTTCAAGGATAGATTTTTACACTGAATGAAGAGGAAACAGATAAACGTATTTTATGCTTAAAACTACTATTTTTTTGGTTAGTATATACTTTACCTCTGTCCCATTGTCATTAACAAGTAGGGTTTAACTTTGGGATTATGAATTTTGTTAGTCTCAAAACCAGTGGTCAATTAATTCTCATAGCAACTGTATTTATTAATGTTTACGGTTATAATATTGCTATTTAATGTCCCATTTTGCCCAATATAAGCCTTGCAATATAAGAACTTTAAAATAAACCCTCATTTTGTGAATACATCATTTAGGGATTCATTTATATTTCAAGAAATGTAAAGTAAAAGATATTTGTATCTATATTTTCTCTATTTTAAAATGTCAACCAACATTGGCCTATTCCTCGTCAGAAATAAGCTGGATGAGGAAGTCGAAGGGTCACATCAAGCCCTTGTGTGTGCAGGACATTTCACTCAAACAGAAGAATTTCCTGTAAGTGTGAAAGGACAAGTGGACAGCGTGTGTATGTGCGCTGATGCTCATGGGTGTTCCAGGAAGAGCACCTGTGGTGTGCAGGGTCGAGCTGTGCTGGTGGCTGATATGTGTATGTGGGGGGCGAGAGGGTCTGCGTGACCCGTTAATGGCCTGGGGGGTATTTGATGACAGTTGCAGTAATCTGAAGCTGACTGGTGTCTCTTACACTCATTTAATCTTTGTCATCAAATCCCACCATCCATCTGATTAATGGCTACAGTTCAACCCTGTTTTCAGAGCCTTATATCTTGCCATGATGAATGTCGATCTATGGCATATTTTCCTCTAATATAACCATGAAAAACTATTACGAAAGACTTCCTCATTCTCCTCCCCCCTTAACCGTTAAACTCTGTTTATGTACAGTATGTGTGTGTGTGTGTGTGTCTGAGAAACTGATCTCTTCTATAAACGTCTTCTCTGTATCTTGCCAGGCGTCTAAA